CATTATATTCTTTGATGTAGAAATACATTTAACATATAAAGAGATAAAAACAAAGATAATACAAATAAACAATTTAAATCAATAGAACTATTTGATGAATAATTCAAAAAGAAAGTGAAATAAAGAAGAACCAAATAATGAAATATTACAAGTTGATTAGAACTATACATAATATATATCAAATTAATTTGTAATAAATTATCCATTAATTTCAATTTTACCAATTTAAATTGAACAAAACTAATGAAAATACATATTTAATAATATAGAATATGATGAATAAGAAAATGAATTATTGTTAAAATGATTAAAACATGAATAATGTTAATTACTTATTATTTGTTATAATTCAATTAAAAATCATTTTATTATTGTATTATCATATAATACAATTAATACTAATGAATAAAATGAACACAATCAGACTTATTCATCACAGTATTCATTATTGTTATTACAATTGAATATCATGTTATATTATAAATCATTTATCATTATAACAAATTGATTAATCAAATCATACACTTAATAATTCTATTGATAATTATCATTTCTTCTTTATCATTTCTATTTGAATTATCTAATTATAAAGAATATAATCATAATATTGTAAATTAATATTATTCATCTCTCTTTTTCATATAATCAATTTATTATCATAATAATACAAATAATACAATGAATTTCAACATTATTACAATAAATTATACACCAAATCAATAATAATTAATGATTTAGAGAACAATTATAATGAACAATATTATCAATATCATGAAATTTGAATAAATAAATATCAATTTTGATAATAAAATGAATAAGAGAATAAAATAAATGATAAACAGAATAAAATAGATGAATGTTATTATATTATGATAACATTCTATGATATCTTTTAAAAATATTAAAATTAATTAAATTATTTAATATTGATATTATTTGATAAACAAATAAATAATCAATTTCAATCAATTTGAATTAAATTATTTTATTATTCATAATTATTATTTGGACATTTTTCAAATGCTCCTTTTTCAATTATTATTGTATTTGGTTTAATGTTAATTTCTTTTAATTTTATACTTTCTTTAAAACTTTCTGTGTTTATTTTAGTTATACTTTGTGGAAGTTCAATTCTTTGTATTTGTCCACAATATTTCATAAATCCTTTTGGATTTTCTTTAATTCCTTCATGTATTTCAATCTTTGTTAAATTCGTACAATAACCAAAACATTCATTTCCAATATCTCTTACATTTGAAGGAATAGTAATTTCTTTAATTTGACTTCATTCAAATCATCCATTTCCTATTCGTTTGACTTCTGTTGGTATTTCATATCCTTACTTTTCTCTATCTTCATTTGTATATTCAATTTCTTCAACTGAATTATTTTCTTCTTTTAATATCATCCAAACCCAATATGGAATGCTTTGATAATTATGTATTTTCCCTGAACTTCTGTTATTTATTAAACTTTTACAATTCCAAAAACTACATTTCCCAACATATCCAATGTCTTTATTCATTCGTATTTCTTTTAATCTTGTACATTTTGAAATCAATTATCTCCATATATGTAACATATTCAATATTAATTTTTATTAATGATTTACAATTATTAAAACATTTAAATGGAAGTTTATAGAGATGTGGTGTTAATTCTATTTTTGTTAAACTTGTATATCATTAAAACATTCATCATCACATGTTTATATGTCTCAATCTATTCTCTATTTCTCTATCATATATCT